CCCATTAACCAGACTATCCATGCAGACTAGACGACCTAGCTGCGACCCACACAATCTATCAAGCCTGCAGTGATGCAGGATAAGCAAATGTATTTAAGAGAAGTCTTTTCGCTTTGGGAAAAGACATTCTCGGGAGATTCATAAGAAAATACCTAATAAACATCTAAAACTCCAAAAATATTAAACTATCTCTAAATATTAATCGTCTAACCTACCTAAATTCCTTTGAAAAACTATCTCTCTGACACTAGTCTAATATAATTCTTGGTATTCTTGATAGAATATCCAGAATTTATTTGACATTTGGCGACGACGACAGGATTCGCGTTTCCTAAAGGAATAAAATTTGATAAATCATAACGATAAACAATTAACTGAAACGAATAATAAAACCTCGATTTCGGACGACCGCCCTGATTCATTTTTGAACAAACTTATCAGCAAGGCTATCTGGTACAAATATAACCTCAATAAACAGTTAGACGCATTGGTAGATTCCTGTGAACAAAAAGACGGATCCTTTGTTCTTATCAAACGAACTCTAGAGCAAGCTGACCTTATTTTGACCCAACTAAGACAGGCCCAAGGGTTCGCCAACTTACACTAGTGTATGAACCAGACTCTACCCCGGATCTGAATCTTTGAGGATACAAATACTTCATTTACACAAACCTGGTCACCCATTACCTTTTCATCTACCGAAAGCTCTAGTCCCAAAACAGAATGCCCCCTAAATACCTATAAAATGGAAGACATTGACCCGTGGAATAGTAGTAAAATGCAATACCAACCTTATAACTACAGTACCCCGCAGCACTTCGATTACGAATACGACTTTGGGGAAGAGCCAGATAGACTCTACATTCCCTCTGGCAGCAACGAGGGAAGAAGACGAAGGAAACACACTCCTCTACAAAAAGTAGTTACTGATGCAGATGAGGAAGACAATGGTATCAGTGTGGGCACCAGTACTGAAGTTAGAACCACACTTCGACCCCACAAATTGAGTCCGCCTGTTGGCCTGGTCAGAACCAACCACCGCTACATAGAACCCCAGTTGCACTTAATAACGATTAAAATAATGAGGTAATAATGATAATAATTATAAGACAGACAATAACGATGATAATTACATTGGTGGTAGGGCAAGTCCCATATCTCAAAACCCCCATGTCGACCTGAGGGGTATTCCCCCAGAAACTATACCCCCGGAACTTCCGGCCCAGCAAATGTTGTACTATTTTAATAGGCTAATTAAAGCCATGAAAAAGGGTAATAGTGGTAGAAACCACCGAACTAGTCAAAATTCCTACCTTTAAGGGAGGAGAACAAGACCCACTCCGTTGGGTGGAGGAGTATGAGGATGCTTGTCAAGCCAACAACATTGATGAGAGAAGGATGATTACTATCTTACCTGCCTACCTAAAGGAATCCGCTAATAGTTGGTGGAAGAAAGTGGCTAACCAGGTTCAACGCTGGGAGAGCCGCAGACCCAATCATTCACTTATTTATCTCTTTTAAAAACAATTTTGTACCCGACACCAAAAGTCTTGCTAGATAGCCGAGCTAAGAGGACAGGTACAGCAGCCCAGAAAAACAGTAGACGAATACTATGCCGACCTGGATCATCTTTACTGAAAGGCTGACCCGGAGGAACGATACCCTATTACCGATAAACTACGTCAGTTCATAGACGGTTTACGAGAAGAATTAAGGGAGCCAGTGGAAATAGCCTGCTCAACCACTCTAGGTCAAGCCCTTACCAAGGCCAAGACAGCCGAAGCTGCATTCTCCCAAGGGTTCCCACTAAGCTCGTACTCATTAAGAAGAAATTATTTAAATAAGAAAGGTGAGGCTAAGAATTCTGAACTATCAAAGCTAAGGAAGAAAATTATAGAGTTAGCAGAGGCCATGAAGAAATCTTATCTAGGTAGTACTGCCACCACGCCACCTCAATCTGCATACAACACTCCTACTACGCCCCCTCTAATATGTCAATAGTATAATGGCAGAGGACATGCGGCCTGGAACTGCTCCTCTAATCAACCGTATAATGGCAGATATCAAGGCTCCAATAGACCAAGAGGAAACAGACTACCATTTTCTAATCGGAATAATGGCCCACCTAGGAATCATCCAAATCGACCAAACTACCACAACCAAGGTAACAACCATTACAATTGTAGCAACCACAATAATGGTAACAACAATTGTGATAACAGCAATGATAATCGCGGTACCAATTACCCTAACAATAATAACAATAACGTGAATCACAACACTAACAGGGAACAGGTTAATGATAACAACACGCCTACCTATCTTTCCTTCACTAGAGAGGACTTACAGAATCTTATATACCCACGGCACAATCTTTAAACTCCTAAAGGCACACCGTGGAGGGCGGTAGTGCCTTTCCCCTTATGAAACATAATGAGTTAAATAATGATAATAATACTAAGAATAATCGAAACAATAACAACATTAACTTCAACTCACCTAACCCCATACTAATCATAATTCACCTAATAATCTACACTCATTCACTCCTATACAAACCGTCGAACAATTAAACCTCCCAACCCCAGCGTTAAATCAGTTAAAGCCAGAACCCTCACTGGCGGAAAACACGACAGTAGTATGACTCACCCAAAGATGAAAAAGAAACAAACACATCATTATTAATAACAATGGTCAAAAACAAGCAGCAAGACGCCGTAGACATCGTATACTGTAATGCTAAGGTAGATAATATACCTTTTTAATTAATTTTGGATACAGGGTCGATACGGAGCGTAATGTCAAAGATGTTCACAGACAAATTACAGTGGCATATTGAAAACCCCTCTAGTTGTAATATAGTGGACATAAATGGCGGCAAGAAAAGGTCGTTAGGACAAATTAAGCAGATCCCGATACGATTAATGAATGATACTATAATACTGGTGGACGTCGAAATAAACGATACTCAAGGGTATGCTATAATAGTTGGAGTAGATTGGATGAATAAGTTAAAGGGTATTATCAATTTGAAGGTTGGAGAATTTAGGTACGAATGGAAAAGTCAATCTTATACTATACCTATCACTTGTTAGGACAAGCCTCAATACCAAGATGGTGATCCAATAATTATTAAGCCAAAATATAATAGGCGGAAAGAACAAGAGGAGTTGTCGAGTGAGGAAGAATATGAGGAGGAATTAGAACAGGAAGAAATAAAAGGATTTGCGGTACTAGAGAATATAATAGAAGAACCAATCCTAGAAATAGAAGAAGATAAGTTTTCATATGGGAAAATAACAATAATGAGATATGAGCCTGATATGGATAAAGCTATGAATCCGAAAGTGACGAAGTGTTGGTGCACAAGGACACTAGAGGGATGCAAGAAATGTTTGGAGATAAGAGACATTATTAGGTGCTTTACAGAGAAAGAGGACATAAGCGAAATTACACACCCACCTAACATGATAACTATAGAGCAACAAGAACAGTTGGATAATTTTCTGAAGGAATATAAGACTCTTTTTTTGCAAGGACTACACGACTTGTGGCATACAAATGTAGATAAGCATCAAATCATTATCAAACATGTACCCCCTATACATCAGAAGGCTTACCGAATGTCTCCCGCGGAGCATGAGTTCATCTAACAAGAATTGCAGTCGATGCTCCAACATGGGTTAATAGCACTATTCAAAAGCCCATGGTCGTCCCCAGTAGTGTTAGTCTAACTTTGCTAGGATAATCGAGCCCTTAAACAGACTTCTAAAGAAAAACACACTTTAGACCCAGGCGTGTCAACAAGCAATAGACTGGCTTAAGGAAAAACTGACAACAGCACCCATCCTTCAATACCCGGATTTCCAACAACCTTTCATTCTGTACACTGACGTATCATATCAGGGTCTAGGTACCATATTGGCTCAAAAGGATATGGATAACCAAGAGCACGTTATAGCCTATGCTAGTAGGACCTTAGGCCCTTCCGAAGTTAATTACTCACCTACAGAAATAGAATGTTTAGCCGCTGTTTGGGGAATGGAGTACTTCAGGCTATACATTTACCTTCGCCTGTTTGAATTAGTAACTGATCACTCTGCTCTTCAATGGTTACTTAACTAGCCAAACCCTAATAAAAGGATATACCACTGGATTGCCAGGATCGCTGACTATTTGTATAAAGTAGTACACCGAAAAGGTCGTGTCCACTCCAAAATCGACGCCCTGTCAAGAATCCCTTTTGAACCACTATAAGGGAAACAAATTAAAATAATAAGTAGATGTTCATATATATATATAAAAAAAAAAAAAAAAAAAAAAAAAAAAAAAAAAAAAAAAAAAAAAGAAAAAAAAAACATGGATCCCAAACAATACGCAAACATTTTGGCTTACCTAACAACACTTTTTGTACCTCCACACTTAACTACAACCCAACAAAAACAATTCAAGCAAAAAGCAAGCCAATTTATACAAATAAATCAACAATTATATAAAAGAAATAATAAAAAGGATACTCAATTTACTCCACTTAAAGTAGTCAAGACATTCGAATTGGAAAACATCTTGCATAACCTTCATACAGATGTTCTTGCTGGACATTTTGAAATAACAGGGACCTACAATAAGGCCAGAGATTGGTATTACTGGGCCGGGATGTATAAAAGCATCATGGAATACATCCAAACCTGCAATACATGCCAAAGACAGGGGCATGCAAAGAAAAATGAATCATTACACCCTATACCTGTTGGTGCTCCATTTGACTGTGTCAGAATAGATATAGTAAGACCGCTAAAAGTCACCCCAAAAGGCAATCGTTATATCATTGTAGCTACTAAATATTTAACCAAGTGGCCAGAAGCCAAGGCTATTCCAAACATGAAAGCTATAACGATCGCTCAATTTCTATATGATGAAATCCTTACCCGCCATGGTTGTCTAAAGGAATTATTATCAGACCAAGGTACGCCCTTCTGTAATAAGATAGTAGACGCCCTATGCCAATTAATGAGAGTTCGGCACAGGCTAGTTTCGGCCTACCACCTCCAGACCAATGGACTTACAGAGCAGTTTAACAAAACACTCTGTAACACTCTGGCCAAATATGTTTGTGCCTACGAAGAGTCCTGGGATTCTTTCATACAGGCCGCTCTATTCGCTTACTGAATGGTGCCCCAGGCCACCACAAAGTTTACGCCTTTCCAATTGTTATATGGACAGGAAGCTGTATTGTACATAGACCTGTGAGAAAGCAACCAAAAAGACAACCCGGACTACCCATACGACCTACAAGTTCAAAGCCACATAGACTATATTACAGAAAGGTTACAACAAGTACAAATAGAGGCAAGAGAAAATATCAAACTAGCCCAGAAGAAGCAGAAAGAAAGATACGATGAACAAGTAAAGGATACACAGTTCCATATCGGGGATAAGGTACTGCTATATAGATCTGCAGAAGCTAAGGTGCATGGGGACAAGTTTCAGGAAAAATGGAAAGGTCCCTATTATATCCACGACCTAATAGCACCAGGCGTCTATAAGCTTCATACCACCGATTCTGGTAAAATCCTGAGAAGGCCGGTTAACGCAAATCGCCTTAAACTATATTTCGAACGTCCACTATGGGAGCTGATCGTGATAGTGTGAAAGAAAAAAAAAATTACTATCGAACAAAAAGTGGCTCTAAGATATAAAGAAGAGAAAGAAAAATCAACACACAAAAATATAAGTTCAAAAAAAAAAAAAAAAGAGAGAGCACTCAAAGTAGAACACAGCCACTATCAGATAATCAACAATCGTTAAAAAGAATGACCTACTCACACGTGACCAGACAACAATCAGCCCGAAACCACCTCATCGAAAATGTAATCGATTACTACTAGCTTGAAGAACAGACCCCTCTAAGGTTCTTACCACCTTACGATACAAACGATCTTTGGGAGACAGCTCTAAGTAAAGTAGTTTATAAATGTCAAGAAGCCATGAAAGACAAACATCGCATTCGGTTATTAGCAAATTCGTACTACCTAGGTGAATTGCTAAAAATCAAAATACCCAGGCTAAGTGGCTAGAATACGTAGAAAGTAATGGTCTCAAGTGTGAACGGCGATTGTACCGAGGAGCCAAACGAGTTCTGGAAATATTCAGAAGAAACCCAGAACAAATATACCGAACTCGAAAAATATTCCTACACTTTTTGGACGGTCTCACCGATGAAGACTACAATAATAAGTTCTTACCATATACCCAGACCAGTCTAGACTTCGTTACCTTGGATATGAGAAACTCATTTAACACTTTGGATGACCTCGCTTCTTAAGGAGGGAAATGTGACGAAATTGAATATTTTCGTATATTATTGCTCTAGTTAGATAGTTAGTTATATTTATTTTTTATTTATTTATTTAAGTCTTATTTATTCTTCTTGATTATAATATATATTGTAGTTATTTATTTATTTAGTACTATCACTTGCTTTATTTATTTCTTTAAGTATTTGCTATAGTTATTTATTTATTTATTATTATATTTCTTTATTTTCTTTATTTAAGTCTATATACAGTTAGTTATATGTACGTCTATAGGTAGTTATTTAGTAGTATAGTTAGGTATATAGATTAAAATAGATAGTCTAGAGTAGGTAGATAGCAACGTCGCAGATCACAGGATCGTTACACAGTACACATAACTGTGCACTATGATAACCCGGGACACATAATCATTTATGCATCCTCCGCGACCCATGAACCAGACTATCCATGCAGACTAGACGACCTAGCTGCGAACCACACAATCTATCAAGCCTGCAGTGATACAGGATAAAAAAATGTATTTAAGAGAAGTCTTTTCGCTCTGGAAAAAGACATTCTCGGGGGATTCATAAAAAAATACCTAATAAACATCTAAAACTTCAAAAATATTAAACTACCTCTAAATATTAATCGTCTAACCTACCTAAATTCCTTTGAAAAACTGTCTCTCTGATACTAGTCTAATATAATTCTCGGTATTCTCGATAGAATATCCAAAATTTATTTGACAATACTATTGTTTGCAAAGAAGTTTAGATAGTAAAAGAACTGTTTTTTAAAGATATCTTGGCATCCACCAAGCCAATTTTGATGTTCTAACCACCATTAGATGTGTTTTGACAAGCTCTACAAAAGTCTCTTAAATTAGAAAAGTAATTAACTTAGTATAAAAAAAAGTTTTAGATACGTGCACACCACATTTGAAGACCCCCAATTTTTATAAGTAATTTGAGTCACATTTTATTATGATCATTCTTTGGTTGACTGGTGGATCACCAATTAAGATATCTTTGCTCAAAGTTTAAGTAAAATTTTAGTGCAGTCTTATTTTAATAAATATTTTGAGTTTTTTTAAATGTTTGAGCAAAGATATATTATTAACCACCAAGTCAAATTTAATAAACTTTTTTTTATTTGCATTCTACAGATTCGTAGAATTTAAATAAACAAAGTTAATTGAATTTGACTTGAAATATCTTTGCTTAAAGTTTAAATAAAATTTTGGTGCAGCCTTATTTTGATAGATATTTTGAGTTTTCTTAAATGTTTGAGTGAAGATATATAGTCAACTACCAAGTCAAATTAGTGGAAATAACATAATTATGTTATTTCTACTTAGTCTAGGTTATTTCCACTCAGGTATGACAACAGAAATGCGTCACCATCATCAGTGTTGTGACGACAGAAATGCGTCACTGTCGTCAGAGATATATTAGTATTTGCTCTATCATTCGAGTGACAAACGATTTACGCTTGCCTCGTCAGTGTTGTAACGACAGAAATGCCTCACCGTCATCAGAGATATATTAGTATTCGCTTCATCATTCGAGTGATGAATGATTCACGCTTGCGCCATCATTTGAGTGACGAACGATTCGCACTGTATCATCAGAGATATATTAGTATTTGCTCCATCATTCGAGTGACAGATACCTGCTAACATGTATATAGCATGGGTATGCTATCTGTCACTGAAAAATCTTTGGTGACAGCTTTGGTGACAACTTTGGTGATGGGTTTATTATTAAAGTTTGGCTTTAAATTCTTTTTTATCTTGTTCTTATATACTGTCACCAAAGTCACTGAAAATAAAGTAAAATTCTAGGAAAAAAATAAACCTTTTTCTTATGATATACATTTGATATATATCCGATATATATTATATACCTACCTTTGATATATATATATATACAGTATATATAATATACCCATATATAAAAAAAAAGAAAAAAAGCTGGAGAAATTCAATCTTTTTTAGAGTTTTCAATGACAGACATCTAAAAAGCTTTCTAAAAGTTTAAAAATGCAGAATTTGATAGAGATCTCGACTCTGAAAATTTTCTGTCACTAAAAAATTTCGGTGACACTTGGCTATACTAAGATATCGCATATATACTTACTATGTATTTTTTAAATACTATTTTGTGCCGTCTTCTTCAGCTTCTCCCGATGATAGTGGTCCTGAGAACGATACTTACTAGCATGAGTTCTGCATGCTCCATATATCGAAGATGTTAACTTAACGCAACCATATTCTTTACATAGTATGCGGGTAGGAGAATCCTAGCGAATTGTACACCCCTCGGGTCGATAGCAACCTCGATTACATACTTTCCCACTTCTAAAAATATAAGAACAATGGTAAAATCCCATATCTAAAGTTTTGCTAATACGTTTTTTAAGTAGTATATATTGTCTAACACTAATTACCTAAAATAATTAATTTTTATTTTGAACTTTTCTCTAACCGCTATTATAGTTTCAAATAATAATATAATATGACTACCCAAAATATTCAAAATTTCCAGGAAACCATCGATCATGTGCCAGCAGAATCAGAAGCACCACTTTCTCAACCAGAGAGCCCAGAAAACTCAGAAAATTTCGAGCCAGAGATAGTGGAAGAAAATAACGGGGCCTTCTACCTCCGGGGGCCAAAGCTTTTCCTCAATCACAGATTTCAGAAAATGGAAAAACCAGTCAATTACTCCGATACTTTGGTGAAGATTATTTGATAGGTATTTCAACCTGTGACAATTTAGTTACAGAAAACAATGAAGGATTAATGGCAATTCTTGAAGATGCTTTATCTAAGCATCAAGATATTCCATTTATGGCCATTGATGTAGAAGAGTCCACTGAATTCACAAATGGTCAAGCCTGGTATGTATTGCGTCTCTATGGCCCTCTCATCAATAGTCAGAAAGCAGTTGTTCAATAACGGGAATTCAAGTCTTTTTTGATATTCTTGTACCAGAAGATGAGTCTCCCAATTTGTTTGAAACAAAAATAAAGGCTATCCTCTTTGGTGAAATAAAATGGTTAAAATAGAACATGTAAAGGCGTATCCATTTCGTGGTTATCATCCCGATAAAAAGTTATATTTGCGTATTTATACAACCAACACTAAGCAAAGAAAGATTGCAATGAAAGCTATTCAAAAGAAAAAGTACGTAATAGCGACAGATGATCAATTTACATACTATCGCAAGGTGGCTCATGAATATGGAATTTCACTATCAGGATGGTCTACAATAAGTAATTATACATGTGAAATTGGAGGAAGGAGAAACCCGCTTTGTGCATATACTTTTTGAATATCTATAGAGAATTTCCATCCTATAAAAGATCTGGTGTTATTAAAATATTGCTTTCCAATTTCAGCACTCATGAGAGATCGTACACTTGCTCTCACATGAGACATAGAAACATATAGTTCAGGTAGATTGGGTGAACTTCCTGAAGCGATTAATGAAGAAGATTTTGTAATTATGATCTGCATGATGTTGCATTGGAAGGATGATCCAAGACCATTAAAACAAATTTGTCTTGTCGATGTCGAAACAGTACCATATTTAGACTGGATTACAATTGTATGTGGATCGCAAACTAATTTGCTAAAAGCATTTTCACTTTGCTGGCGGGCATTTGCTCCAGACATCCAACTCGGATTTAATGATTCACAATATAATTGGCCTTTCATTATGGAAAAAGCCAATAAGTTACATCTCATTGAATGGATGTGAAAACAGATGTCAGGAAGAACTCGCCAGGCAACTTCTGAAGATATTATACAATGAAATTATTATGGAAGATTAGAAGATGTGACTACTTCCAATGAAACCCTTTCCGTGAAAGAGAATACAGAAGAAGAAGTGGAAGAAGAATTCAGAAGGGATTCTATTTTCATCAAAGTTACCCCGGAAGATACCTTTAAATCTTCCTTTCTTAAAATACCTGGATATGTACCAATCGATGTCCGTGCATATTTTAAGAAACTTTACCCTCGCTCGGAAACAAAAAAGGAAAGTTCGCTGAAGTTCTACTTAGAATTATGTGGGCTCAAGAGTAAGGCTGATATGCCTTTTAACAGATTATGAAACTACTATTCTGAGACAAAAAAACTCTCTTCTGATATAACTGCTAGAAATATGCATGAAGTAGCAAACTATTGTATTATAGATGCGTTACGTTGCCAAGAACTTGTAGTCAAACGCAATGTAATTAACGATAATAGAGAAGTTGCTTCTATAGCTCATGTATCCTTCTTCCACAGGTCGAAAGATAAAAAATCAGGCACAAATCAGGTACCCGATTTTAAACTGATTACTGCCTGATTACCACCTGATTTATGCATATTTTTGTACCAAAAATTTGGTACAAAAATATGCATAAATCAGGTGATAATCAGGCAGTAATCAGTTTAAAATCGGGTACCTGATTTGTACCTGATTTTTTATCTTTCGACCTGTGTTCGACTCCCACTATCGTGCAAACGGAATGAAGATACGAAATCTTTTGGGAGCTTATGCTTTTAAACATAATATAGTATTTAGCACAAGAGTATGTAAAAATATAGAAAAAGGAAAATACTCTGGTGCATACGTATTTCCACCTAAAAAAGAGATTGAAATGAAAAGGATTAGATTTTGCTTCATTATATCCAAGTCTCATTATGGCCTACAATCTCTCTCCAGAAAAAATTATACTAAATAAAGGAGAAGCCGATATTGTACAAAAAAATGGAAACAACTTGCATAAGATTGAGTTCTTATTTAATGATCACACCCTTCGTGTCTGGTCTGTTCGGCATGATAATTGTCCCGAGAAAAAAGGATTATATCCAATTGTTTTAAAGGACCTGTTTAACAAACAAGTGAAACTCAAAGCAAAGTTCGCTTTATTGCGTAAAGAAAAGGAGCGCCTCGAAAAACTTATAAGTACCATAGAGGGGAAGAGAAAAATAGTTTCAGACACTTTAAAATCGAAATATGCATCTTTATATTTT